ACTACATCGATTTCATTTTCATTTATAGGACCCTTACTATCCTGCAGATTAGTGATTTCAGCTTTTAGAGCTCTTTTGGAGTTAAAATGTTGGAAGAAACGTTTAATGTCATCCTTAGCCTCCAATGCAATCTTCATTTTCACATCCCTCTTAATGGGTCTCAACCGGTAGACTCAGATACTCCTGCTTTATTCCGACATCATTAGTTATTTTCCATTTGAGGAACAGAGCCCTTTTCCTCCTGACTTTGTTCTTAATTTCAGTAATAAACCACCTTAGTTGCAGTTTCCTACATTTAGTTTTGCTGGAAACTGCTTTGAAGTCTCCTTGCATTTGCAATAACGTGCTTTAAAAAAATTCCTCTTCAAAATGTCTCTTCAACAGTTTTGTTGCTTAACTCCGTCCAGTTTACAGTTTCTAGTTTCAGTCTCATACCGTTAAAGTTAACCTTCCTAACATTGTATACTTTTATTTTGGTTTTTGCTTTTCGGACACTAAAATTAACCTTGAATTTAACCATGTTATGATCACTACTGCCAAGTGAATTTTCCAACCCTATCCTGGTTATTAGAGAAAACCAGATCAAGAAGGGCTTCTCCCCTGGTAGGAGTATTAACAAACTGAGTAAAAAAACATACTCATAATCCTGATATCATCATATAACATTCTGCTTTCCTCTACAGCTACATCAGGTGCTCTATCACAAACCCCGACAATTAGGCCATTTGAGTTCTTAGCATCTAGTTTTATCCATACAGCTTCTGTACTTTTATTTTTATCAGTGAGCTCCCTTGCATGCAAGTTTTCTTTTATGTATACTGCAACACCACCTCCCTTCTTGCCTATTCAGTCCCTATTATTATTATTATTATTATTATTATTATTATTATTATGTACTGTATTATTATTTTTACTTACCTTCAAATTTAACAGACTTAGGGGATGGATTTCTTTCATAACCTGGATGCTGCCTGTATTTTAAGAATTTGTTCTGGATTGTTGCCCATACAGGCCCACCATACCTACATACTTACAATAAAATTCACCAAACTTTGCCAGCCCACAACCCCATTGGCCCAGTGGGGAAATGCCCAGTATGCCAGAGGGCCAGTCCAGCCCTGCTCACAGACAGACAGACAGACAGACAGACAGACAGAAACACACACTATAGAGGTGGAGTCAACAGCATTACCTACTGAGCCTTTCAAAAGACATCACCCAAATCCACAGGCTACATAGTGATTTTCCTCTTCTTTTAAACCCAAGACTCAGAGGACAATTGACACAGTCAGATATTATCCCAAGACACAGCTGTGGATTACCCAGAATGCACAGCAACAGAAACAGGAAATGATTCATGACGTGAGCACAAAACAACTACGAATAGATGAAAATATTGAAAGAATGTTGAACACAAACAAATAGGGTCCTATTTATGGATCTAAAAACAGAGATATCTCAGAGTTATAAAAGAAAATCAATATTCCACATTCCATATTTTAAATAAAAATTGATTAAATTTCTAACAAGGAATTTGGTTTATTTATAAGTCAAAGCCCATGTTTTTTCTTAGGGTGAAGCGGAAATATTTCTTTGGGAGATCCAAGGAATTTCAAACTTCAGTTGAATGAAGAGGGGAGTTCAATCAGTCTGGTTTAATCAATAAACTTCAACAGTAATTGATCACGGGACCTAAATGGCAATGCTGGATATTAATGACTAACCAAAACATGAGCGGAATCATATGCCAGAAGTGAGTCATGACTTTTTCCAGGAACCCCTCTACCAGCTTCATCACTCCAGGTTCCTGAATAGCTGTCCTATTAGTTCTCGCTTTGTTTGGAAGACACTGTGTATCTTCTGCTCCAGTTCTGCTTACACTCGTACCTGGGCATTCGCCAGAAGGTCCCAAAGCATTAAGGGGGTCTCATTGCTGAAAGGGTGCAAAAACAAATCCACAGTATTAGATACACCATGGAACACAGTGAAGACAGCCTTCTAGAAGTGGAGAAAATGTGGGACAGCAGTGATGTTACAGAGAACGGATGAAAATACGGGATGAAAGCGGCCAGGAGGCCCACAGCAGCACTGAGGGAGCAGCAGGAATTTCTGTCAAGTACTGCTTGTGTGGTTGTGTACTACATGTGACAACAATCTCTGGTATTTTCCTTATTTTCCATATGTCTGGACTATGGGTCTAAATACTAGAACTCGTGGCCATAAGTGGAAATTAGCGGGAGAACATTTTAAAACAAATTTGAGGAAGCACTTCTTTACACAGCGTGTAGTTAGAGTATGGAATAGTCTTCCTGCTAGTGTAGCGGAAGCTGAAACCATGGGTTCCTTTAAATCAGAGCTAGATAAGATTTTAACAACTCTGAGCTATTAGTTAAGTTCTCCCCAAATGAGCTTGATGGGCCGAATGGCCTCCTCTCGTTTGTAAATTTCTTATGTTCTTATGTTCTTATGGGGTTAGGGTCACAAGTCAGACGCCTTTTTTATGAAGGACAACATCCACATTTGGGGGAAAAAAAACATCAAGTCTCCCAAAAGCATGTGGGAAGGTGTGTAATGGTCTGATTAAACCAAGGTTGAACTTTTTGGCCATAATCCCAAAAGGTATTTTTTGCTCAGAACCAACACTGCGCATCACCAAAAGACCACCAGACACAGACCACACCTGCGGTGAAGCATGGTGGGGGCAACAACACACCTTGGGGTTGTTTTTCTTCAGCTGAAACTGGGGCTTTACTCAAGGTGGAGGGAATTGTGAACAATTCCATATACCGGTCAATTTTGACCCAAATGCTTCAGGTATCTGCTAGAAAGCTGAAGATGAAGAGGAGTTTCACTTTTCAGCATGACAATGACCCCAAGCATATATCCAAATCAATAAAATAATGGCTTCACCAGAAGAAAATTAAATCTTTGGAATGGCCCAGCCAGAGTCCAGACCTAAATCCAACTGACAATCTGTGGGGTGACCTGAAGAGGGCTCTGCACAAGAGGTGCCCCCACAATCTGACAGATTTGGAACAGTTTTGCTAGGAACAGTGGGCAAATACTGCCATGTTAAGATGTTGCATGCTGATAGACTCCTACGCAAAAAGACTGAATGCTTTGGTGAGGTGCATAGTGCGTAAAAGTCACTAACGCTCCGACTCAATAGCCGCTGAGTTCTGAACTTCCTCTCACATTAACCGCAGTACAACTGTGCGCTGGGAGCTTCATGGAATCAGCTTCCACAGCAGCTGCATCCAAGCCTCACATCACCAAGCGCAATGCCAAGCGTCGGATGGAGCGACTGACTGCATTGTTTCTCCCCCAACCCCCACCCCCCCCCGGGGCCAGCCATGGGGGGAAGGGTCAATTGTGTTCCAGCATGTCTTTGCACCAGTGCACAAAGTCAGCTCCATAAAAACATGACTGGGTGAGTTTGGTGTGGAGGAACTTGACTGGTCCGCACAGAGCCCTGACCTCATCCCCATGAAACACCTTTGGGATGAACTATAATAAAAAGATTGCGACCCAGGCCTTCAGCTCCAACATCAGTGCCTGACCTCTTCTGGGTGAAAGGGGCAAAAATTCCACAGAGACACTCCGAAATCTTGTGGAAAGCCTTCAGAGAAGAGTGGCAGCTGTTACAGCTGCAAAGCAGGGGACCAATTCCAGGTCTCCTCATCCATTTCTCCATATTGTGCATTTCTAGGGCCCAAGCAGCATAGTTACTGGATCCCTGTTGATTTTTTTTTTAACGTTTTTGTTGCTCGTGAGTTTGTGCTACTATGGAAAAAAATCCTGGGGGGAAATAATAGTAGGTCCTGTTAGAATGACATTGCTGGTCATCAAACTGCTGAGCACCTTGGAGGAGTCACATGATACATCACATGATGCGTCACATGCAAATGTGGATGCCGGTATGTGTATGTATGTGAAGGAGAAGGTGTGTGTGTGTGTGATGTCACTGTTGACACATCCCCTCAATCACAGACCATCCTGAGGGACAGTGCTCCAGTCCAAGTCTCGCCTCCCACAATTAGCCAGCCACTACCTCGTTACTCCATTATTTCCCGACAAGCTTCTCATTAACAGGCTCTAGAGTGAGCACTCAGATGGGCTGCTGGATGAGTGACGGCACCCTGTTTGGGCTGTCTGTTGATGTATAAATACCCCGGCTTTAATTTGTTTAATGTGAGCCGTCGTCACCTGGCCCAGTGAAGCGGTCCTGTATCCGCTGGGCTCGCTGCAGCCCTCGATATACTGCGACCCTGAGCAACCACAACAGGAAAATAATATTTCATTAGGAGGCTGGGACTCCACCCCAAGATTGCAAGGTGGGCAGATACTTCAATATTTGTCGTATTTTTAGAGAATTTGCAGGACGTTTCAACCGAAACAGGAAGTAGAGGAAAGTTTGGCTCAAGAGAGAGACAGTTCCCGCTCGAACAAAACAATATCCCAAGCAAAGCCAAATAGGTGGGAAATTATGTCAACAACGCTCCCCCCACAGATCGTAAATGTTGCCAATAAACATTTGCATTCATTCGAAAGCACTACTGAGTGATCCTGAAAATCCCATGGGAGAGGAACTCGAAAGGCCTATTCATGTGTCTCTGAAGAACAAACTGTACCAATTACCCACAAATTACTTATTTGTAAGACTTCATTAACTATGACACCAACCCAAGAGCACTAGGAGAACCTCAGACGGCCAAATTACATGCAGCAGACTAACAGAGAAAACTGTAGACAGCAGAATAAGATATAGTTAGCTAACAAACATAGAAATCAGCCTCAAAAAACCCATTGAATATCCAGAATAGGGTCACAACGTTATTTATGAAAATGTAACACAGAATTAATGTACACCAAATAAATTAACCAGGCACCTATAGAGTCATTTAAAAAAAATGTAAAAAGACAATCAGAAAGACAAAAATGGCATTTGTTAGGTTTATTTATTTGTTTTGGCATTTTTGGTAACTCCAATAAATTAAATAAATAACAAAACTATGTGTAAAAAAAAAAGGAATTAATCATTTCAGATTTCATTATGACAACAGGCCAAACTCTCGAAGACTGTTCTGGGTGTAATAACTTGCATCCATCGGTTCCGGTCCACATGCAGCCGGGCTGAGGTACTGTTCAAATTCGCTGGCGTCCAGATCCTGCAGCAGGTCCACCCGGACCTGCTCGAGGTAAAACTCCAGAGATGGGGTGCCTGCACACAGGTGACAGCCACAGGACTGCCACTCGCCCTGCTCGCCACAAGGGGGCGGCGCAGGGGCAGAAGGGTAAGGCGGGGGAGGGGAGGAGAGCTGCGCCGGGGGGACGTAGTGCAGCTGGGCCTCCGTGGAGTAGTTTGGTGCACACTGGGCCATCCGCTGATGGTACTGAGTCTGGATCAGGTAGCTCAGGTCACAGGGACCCGAGATGAAGCCGTCGCAGTGCAGGGGGGCTGGCTGGGCACCTTCAGGTGGTGCCGCCCTGCTTCCCTTTTTAGCCTGCTTCCTCCGCCGGGGCCGGTATTTGTAGTTGGGGTGGTCGATGGTGTGCTGGACCCGCAGCCGCTCTGCCTCCTGCATGTACGGCCTCTTCTCCACCAGAGACATACCCTTCCAGGTTCGGCCTGCAGGGGGGGGACAAAAACACAGGTTTAAACTCCAGCTCCTTGCTCAGTACCCCAAATTCAATAGTATTTAAAGCATAATAATAAACTACATTATTATCAACGATTTCCCTACATCTCTGATTCACCATAAAAAGCAGCACAGTATTTATAGTATTAATTGCGGATTGCATATCATTAAATTTATGCTAAACTTTATTTTAAATCACGCAACTTACCGAGAATTTTGCTCAGATCGGTGTTTTCCAGGTCTGGGTTCAGCTGTGCCAAACGTCTCCGCTCTTCCTTGGTCCAAATGATGAAGGCGTTCAAGGGGCGCCGAACCCGCGGTTCCGGCTCGGGTTTGCCGTCCGGGCTGGAGCAGTTGGACTCGGAGTCCATTGAGATGGGGCTGCAGGACCCGTTGCTGGGAGACTTTGTCTCCATCCTAAGTTCCAGGCATTGCCCGCGATCGCTTGATAAGGTCGGGTTAGACGCGCTGAGGTCAAAGGTGGGGAGAACTCTATCAAAATACATGGCGGAGGGAGGGGTGTCGGCCGACCTTTAATTCCCTGAGGATCAGTAGCAGGCCGGTACAGATGAAGTCTGATTTTAAGCATCACGTTAACCAATGGGAAACAAGTAGGAGTGGATTTAAAGGTGTGAAAATTAAGCGTTGTCCCACCGCTGATAATTATTACCCCCCCCCCCCCCCATCCCCCGCCACCGCCATCCGTCCACGTTACGTGTGTCTTTAATCCACTGTGCACTGAGCGTCCATTTACTCTCAATACGTCCCGCAATAAAATCAATGCATCTAAAATAACACGTTTTGTTCCAGTGATTAAATCACCTATTTTCCTAAGCCCGACTTGTTGTACTTCATCTTTCCCAATGATAAAGTTGATGGAAACCATATATATTTATTATCTAAACCGCGACGTTGTATTTTACGAGAGTCTCTGCTGTTGTAGGCTACCTTTTGGAGGTAAGATTACAATGGTTGCTTACATAACACTCTTAAAAAGGTTAAGTTGACATTTCCTATGTATAATACAAATATGTCATTTTTGGTTTTCCGTTTGAGATTCAATATCTGTGCCTCGGTATGCTTTGTGTGCTTGGTTAGCCTACAAATGAACGGTAAAATGAGGGCAATATTTCTCTGATATTAACGATGCCCAACGGAAACGATTTAGCAAAATTGTCAGATCTAGTACCGCCCTGTATTGTTGAGCATATAGGATTTTCTCAATATATTTTACAAAGGATGTTTTTAAAAGTTCATTCAGCTGCCAGATGCAAACAGTAAGGCTGTTGTAAATTAGTGCAGTACGCGGTGCTTTCAATGCACTGCTCCAGGAAATAATTCATGTAGACTAAATAAAACAGTGACCGTGTTACTGAGACAAAAAGTGGAATTGCATAAAATAATATACAATACAAAAAAGATCGATCGTGTTTCGTTTTCGTCTCAAGAAGTAGCACAATTATTACATCAAAATGAAACACTCAAATTGAAAATAAGTTATTTATAAATGCCTTAGATCTCAGTTCAGTTTTTATGTTAGATAACAAAGTGATCGAAATAATTCACTTTTCATATTACTGTACTAAAATGAAAAATTGTAATAAACTGGCAGTAATATTAAGAGCTAATTACAGCAATTCGGTCGCAATCATTTTATTTCCTTCTTTCCCATCTCTGCAACGAGTTTGCATTTTTGATTTAACCAATTTTTATGTAGGCCTATTTTTATTCACACCATGCACGCCTTCAGGTCAAAATGTTTATCCGCAAGGTCCCATTTTGCCGTGAAGCTATCTCTGTTTCGATCTCCCCGAAATCACATCGGGAACATAAGCGACCTGCTCAGTACAAATAACAGAAATCAATAGAAACAAAGAGGACTCCGGCGTCTCCGGAGATCAAAGCACCTGGTAGAACAGGTTATTCATTAATATAAAAAAAATCACAGGTCACAAGTCAGGTGTTGTCGGACTTTATCAAGCTTCGCTCAATCTGTTAAAACACATCTCAGCAAACATGATGAAGGGAGTTTTTTCTTCCTGTTTTTTTTACTGCGCCATTCCAACGGTGGACTTACAAATATTTATTTGGTACAAAAAGTATATCTCAAGACGTCAGAAGTTAACATTTTAAGAAGATATCGTTTGCAGATATAGATTACATGATAAGTACGCAGCATTCTGCATTAGAATAAAGTTACTGGGATAGCCACAGAATATAGTAAATAGACACATGTACGCGCCTACATTAATTTCAACCATTTCGTCATTTTTTTCGGAGATATGATACGGCCGACCTCCTCCCCTCCTCTTCCCCTAGTTTTAATTTTTTAAAAACAAACCCTTTAGACATTGTGACCGAAGCCGTGTAAGGTTTTTCGGAGTGATAAGATTCCTGCAGGAACTCCAAAGGGTCAGGAAGGAAACCCTTTGGCTCTTAGGGGATTCCGCTAGTGCGGATTAACCGCGCGCTATTGCGGGGCTAAATGTGTATTCTTAAAAAACACGTTGTTTCCATTGCGCGGGCAGATCAGTCCCGTAGTTATGGGTTTATAAATTTGTGCAAAGGTTTTGATGTTCGTGAAGCGCAATTGTATTTTTGACACTGGCATTTGTTTTAAAAAAAAAAACAAAACAGTGGCAGGAAACATCAATCTGAACAACCGAATTAAAGTTAACCCCAGGTCCTCCTCTGCTACCCGAGCTCATGTAAATTACTGTATGTACAGCAATATGCTAATGTCAACAAATTTATATAGGGCCTAACAAAAATCTTTACATAGCCTATTCACAGAATTAACGGATTTGTGAATAATTTGTCGATTATTATTGCACAATAACGTCCACAAATTGCGAGGAAAAATACAAATGCAGTCCGGAAAAGGATTAATAAAAATCATTAATAATATAAGTTAAAATCAATTAAAATGTCAAGATATATTACGCCTAATTATAAAAATACGCTGGTGTGTTTGCAAATGGTCTGTTTACTAGTCTGTATTTCCTTTGGTTTAAAGTTACTTTCAAGTGCTCAAACTACAGATATTGAATTTACAATATTTTGCTGACAGATACACTTCTTTCTGGTGGTTTTGAAAAAACACATGCAAGTATGGGCTTATATATTTATATATCTGTTACGGGAAATGTAAATGTTATTATGCATTATTGTCCCGTGCGTTAACGTTGTCATGGTCTCTGTAAAGCCGTTTTTAAAACCTCGGATAATAGCTATTTCTTTTCTCTCTATTTTGAAACTGCGGCACAGTTTTGATTCGCCTTGAGTTTAGCGGAGAGACTAAGTTCAGCGCCGATATGAAGACCGCAAAACCGGCCTCAATACACACGCCCTGGGGGGGGCATCGCGGTGCATATTGGCCTGCACCTGCTTCGTGGCAGACGACCCCTCTCCAAGTATGACTTTAGGGCCTCACTATTCACAAAATCCATTGAGCAAATCGTTCACACCCGCCCCAAACAGACAGATCACTTCAAAATCGGACTCCGGTTAATTAAATAACGGAGTGATCAGAGGAGGTTTTTACCCCCTTTTTGAAAGTTATCCTTCATCAAAGCGGCGAAACGGGTCCAAGCGTCTCCTATGGGGAGGAAACATGCGCAAAACGTCCTGCAAGACGTGTCATAGCACAGGCATAATTAATCAATGGGATTACGCATGTTTATTTGACATCCTAATGATGTGAAACTAAGATAATCGAATTGAATGATCTTATTTTATACAAAACGCATAAAGGGAAAAAGAAAATGACGATTGCATTCTTGCATGAACTTACTCTGTGGACGTTTGTTTTGTCGTTTAAAGCGAATAAGACGGTGAAACGGTATTTTGTCGAAAATGTTGAATGGTGTTTAATGTCCATTAAGCACTAAGCATATTTAGCTACAGCAATGAGACCACAGACACGTTCCTCAAAACAGATCAATCCCCATTTTGGTTTAGAATTAACAGGATTTTTCGGATTTTCATGCTTTTTATTTGGCCTGTTTTATGTGACCTTAATTGAAAATAAAACAAGATCATATTTTAGATAGCCTAAATAGGCTATCGTGAGCTTATTATAGAACATTTAGATGAAATGGTAGTGCATGTGATTAAGCATCGAAAACCCATTACCGCCGTTTTGTTTCGAATCATATCAAAACAGCTGCTTTTTAAATACGGAGTGATTGACTATGAGGATCTTGTTAAAAACTTTCCCGATTTTAATGGCTCTATGAGAAGATGGCCTGTCATTTGTTTTTTTGACACAGACACATTAAAGCGATATTCATCATATAAATTGAGTTCTAAATGAATAGCTTCACATGCTGTTAGAATTAAGGGCTGGAATCCACATCACCACATTAAACACACGCTAAATTTGCAGCCACGTTAAACGTGTTAATGGGGTTAATTAATTAGCTTGAACAACACAGCATGAATACAATAATGTTAGTTTCGGTTGAGTTTTTTGTGAATTAACAAACTATCGAAGACGTATCATTCTGCTATGGCGTATTCATATTGAGTGGTTTGTATTAGACGGGGCATAAAAATAACTCAGTAGGCCTAAGTATATTAAAGAATAGATCCATCCATTCATTTGGAATTTAGTACGATTCAATTTGACCATGCATGATTCTGCACATACGATTTATTTAAAATATTTCGTTTTTAAAATGTAATTTAATTTAATGGTTTGCTCGCAGATTAGGCTACGTAGAAAAAAAAGTCACCTAGTTGCCTAATCTCTGAAATGTTTAAGTATTGGTTTGTATTGTTCAGTGACGCAAGCATTTCAATGAAAGTCCAAACGGAGAGCATATCCCTCTTCTGAATGCCCATTATGTGTCCTAAATAGGGATTGTTTTCAGAAGTCTTCAAGTCACAATGTGCCATTGTATTGGACTGGGGATATATTAGATGGCTCTCTTGCTCTCCATGTTGTACCTGCAGTCTGTGGGACACCACAGGACCAAGGGGACCAAGAGACTTCACTTGCCCAGGGGATGGATATTTCTGCTGGGTTGGATATACTGGACTGCTCTCCTTTCTGGATGAAGAGGATAAAATCTGTAATCTGCAGATCTGCGGGAAAATAACTGGTCATTTTTTTCTTGGGATGGAGTGACTTTTTGCAAAAAAGAAAAAAATGAAATATTAATGGATTAGATTCACATGGACTGTTCTGTGCCCAAACATGTCATTTCTACCAGGTAATTGTTATTAACAGTGGAAATCAGAATCTGAATTACCTTTATTTGTCATGTACAGCCTGTGTACTAGAAATATTTTCAGGTGTAATCGGTCACGTAAAAGTAAAACGAAGTGGATGTCAAAAATAACATACGTGTTGTCATAGAGCAATAACCAACCAGCAACACAAGTAAGAACAAAATTGTGACGTTATGTTTGAAAACTGAACCACCACAAAGTGTCATTATTCATACTCTTACACATTATGTTGCAGGATTCCCTGTCTGAGATGGAGGTCAGCTGATCAAGCTGTGCTCCTCACTGTGTGCAAAATAACGTTT